ATGCTACAAGTGAAGGTCGAACCGATATGTGGATAGAAACGCGGAATATAATTTACTACTTTGAATTCAAACGATATAATTCTGATAAAAAAAATGTAATCATGAGCTTAGTCGAAGAGGCAATCAATCAAATATTTGAAATAAAATATTATATTGGTCATACAGATCCAGAATCCTATAACAAGACGAGATATGCTATTGGGTGTGTTTGTTCAATAGGAACTTGAAAAATCTGTGGAGTTGGAATTCAAGAATTCACTTATAGATCAAATAGGCTTAAAAAAAGGAATTACAAAATTTTTAGATGGATTTAGTAATAAAATGTAATTCATTGATAATATGTATGTTTCGTATTTGCATTGAATAATATATATAGTATAAATATCTTGCATTTATACTTGAAGTAATTAATAATAGCTACAAGATTTAAAAAAATAATATGACGTTTAGATGAATTTTCTTATTAGCAGTAATGAAATGTAATTCATAAAATATTGTATTTGCGTTTAATAATAAAGTATAAATTTTATCTTGCAGATTTAAAAAAAATAATATGCGCTTTATTAATTTCTTGAGCAATAAAAATAAATAATTGGTAGCGAATGAAATATGTGACACTCTGCATCATATTATTTCATGATATTCCACTCCGCTCTATAATCAAAAGATTTATTAGGTACGATCAAAATCATGTGAGTATTCAGATCAAAGTTCAGAACTTATTCTTACGTAATTTTACCATGATATTATGCGGTAGTTATGAAAACTATGACATTTTGTCACAATCAGTGTCATGCGTAAAAATTTTTATTAATTCAATGTAACATAAAAAATAGTCAAAATCTTTCCCTGCGATACATGATAAAGTTACTAAATTACTAATTACTATATTTTTATATTATTATTCCCTAATCTGACTTTTTCATGATGATCTTTGCTTTTTTAGATCCCTCTCTTCACTTTGTGAATCTTTCCATAGGCTTCTGTGCCTTCTTTAACAACCAAATAATATAGCCAAGGACCTTTTCCACCTTCTCTTTCATATCCTCATCTTCGTACACAACAGGTAAGAGCTTCGATAACTTGAACAAGAATTTCATGAAATATATGCTAGACAGTAAAAGAAAACCAGCATCTGTTACAATCCTCATACTTTATCCAGATCATGACATTTTGTCATACCTAAAGAAAATCACATTTTGTCATGCGATCACTTTTGCCAAGAAATTTCCAAGACATTATGTCCCAGAAAAATGCCAAGAAAAAATTTTTTATTATTACATGTGAAAAATAAATACAAATATTCAGGACGTAGCCCATAATACATAATGTCTATGCTAATGACTAATGTATAATCATACAGTCTAACTAACCACCTAACATTTACGTAACTTGGAAATTCGCCCCGTATTCTTTATGAAATGATTGTTATAAAGTACATATTTATTAATGAAAAGAAACTAGAGTTACAAGAAATCGTAATACAGGAATTTGATAATAATAAATTCTTATGTATTATATCTATCTAGTAAGTTAAAGTATTTGAGCCGTTCCTCCTCGAAAAGTTTTCTCTTCTTTTTTGTATCCTCCTGACTCGCAATCCTGAAGTCAATCAGATAGACATCACCATTATCATTAATTAAAATGTTTTCCTTTCAAATATCATTGTGAAGAATACTGTGCTTATGAATTGCTTCTAATCCCTAAATGGCCCTTGACTTCTGTCATTTCTTTATTTTAACGTAATGCCAACAATGGTCATGCTAATAACGTTACTCATACCTCCTCCATAATATCCATGATAGATCAACTTTGGGATATACTTACTTTGGATGTCAGCTAAGTTTTTATAAATCTCAACTTTTTTTGCATTTCTTTCAGGACATATGATGGGGCCTTCAATAAGTTTACACTCTTCAAAGTGATCATATCACCATAAAATTTGCATAGGAGCATTTTACCACTTTGTCCTTCACCTAATATGTTCTTAAACTTGAAGTCTGCAAAGCTAAAATTTTTCTGGTTTACAGGGATATTAAAAAATGATTGTTGATTTGCCAAAGTACTAGAAGTTGATTGTTGATTTAAGGAGGAGCTGAAAGATGATAATTTTGAGTTTGATCAAAGAATACATGAATTATTATTTTTGTGAATTGGTATTAGTACTTAAGGTTTAGGAGACTTGAGATTCTCTTTCGCCTGTCGAGTTAGATAAGCATATGCCTTAAGTACGGGTGAAGATTCGGATTCCAGTAGAAGGGTTTTTGAAATCTAGAGCTTTGTGAGTTTCTCGGCATAAAAATCAGTGATTATTATAGATGGTAAGAATACCGTATCTAAGTTCGTTTTCTTCCATATAATTATAGATTTGTTAAATTACATCCTTACCTTTACTCGTTTGATAAAACTCAGGAAATGTCTCTTCACCCATATCCTCTAAAACATGCTTTCTTTTAGCCTTTATCACCAAGATCAATGAACATATGAGATGACAGTTAAAATCTGATATGTCAGGAGTATCAGTAGATTTTCTTGAATATACATAGTCTGGTCCTATAAAATCATTCAATACCATACAAATATTGAAATTCATAGCATTACGAACATCCGCTTCATTGACTATAACAAATCTATCATCAAATCTCAGCCTCTCAAATATAGTTGCTGGTCAAAGCTGAACCTGTTCACTTTCTCGAAAAAATCTTCCTATAGAAGTATATTTGTTGGTGGTCACCATTAACTTTAGTAGTGATCTTCAAAGTAATGCAATCTAAAGAATATGTATCAGTGATGGAATACATGACAATGCTTCTTCTAAGCTAAGAACTGAAAATGAATACACGTTAATATATTACGAGATAAATAACAAAAATTATAGACTGTATTAAAAGGCTTATGTGGTAATTTTATGATGACATAAATATGTTCTTCAGGAGGTGAGTTAGAAAAATATTTCGAAATCTTTTTTGTTACAAGAAATTCGACTTGATCTTGAAATTAGAGATTGCTTAAGAGATCATCATAATCGTCAAGGATCTTCACATTTCATAGTTTAATACCTTTAGTGTTAACGTTAGCAAGGTTTATGCATTTTTCTTCTTTATAACCTCATGGAGGTAGCTGACAAGCTGGTCTTTATTAATATTAACAAAGAAAGCGTTTGTGAGTATATATCCTTTGACAAGACACAATAAAGTGATAGATATATTTTCAGCTTATATAGTATTTTTTGCGAAATGTTATTGATGCAAACTAGTATATGTGAGAAAAGAATTTTATTTGCAAAAAAATACCATAGTCTACTATATGTAAGAAATTATTCTGTTACGTAGACCTGCTGTATGATTAGCAATTGCATCATAAGTGTAAATGAACTAACAATCATCTAATCACTGCACCTCCCTAACTGTAAAGGCTCTTCACACTTATCACCTGACATAGTGATATATATTAGATTTATTATTATTATACGTGACCCATTTTTCATATACTGATAAAATAATACTTTATTTATGAAATAAATCATTGCTGAAAGCTGGCTTACAATACATAAAAATTGCATTACATTGGTATGAATAAAAAAGTTCTAACTATTGTCAGGAAGGTATACAACGATATTAACTCTATTTTCATTTAGCTTAATGCTAGCGAAATATTTTTCTTAATCATTACTAAAAAATGAACTGATTCTTAACAATGGAGGCAAGCGTTATTCATAATTCTTATCACCTTTCTTCTCTTTTTTTAACATTTTAGTGAAAGCTAAAGCAATATTCTCATTAAGTATTTTGTAAAGAATAAGTTTACTTGGGTCGATATGTTAGAATTGATTTGACACCCACTTTTTGATCATTGGTTTGAGTTGGTTGACTATCTTATCTTGAGAGATCTCTAGTGTGAAAATATCTTCAAAATTGTCATCAGGAATAATACAATTGAGAATCATAACTTTATTATTATTGGTGACCATCTTGCATTCCTAAATACAAGGCCTATAGTGAAAAAATTCTGCATATATTGTAAGCATTAACTTTTGGTATATATGCATCTTAAAATTTTTACAGGAAGGTTGGCTGAACTTTCACATACAGTCAAACCTTGATATAGCGAACCCTTGATA